GGCTACGGTCAACGTGATACAAATGCTCTGGAGCGTTCTTCTTCTCCTTCTTTCTTCATTGAAAGAAAAGAGAAGAGGAATGCTTCGAAGCATTTGTAGTGTCACGTTGACCGTAGCCATAATATCATATTAATACATTATTTTATTTTTAGACGTAGCTGTTGATGAAAGAGAATTAGATGGTGACTTAATTTTGGGAGATATAGGTCAAGGATTGCCATTTAAAGCTGGTATTATTGGAACCACGAGAGTCGCGTGGCAAACGGGAAAAGAAAACCGAGGACAGTAAACCAAGCAGCGGAAAAATATCCCTATTCGACTTTCTCGAGGATAAATTACCTGTACAACCTGAGAGTGTCGAAACAACTAATTTGTCTCAAAACAGCTACATACAAATTAATAAAAGTAATCAAGATCGTTTTGAATCAAGAGGATTTGATAATATATATATATATATATATATATATAGATTATATAGAGACATTATTATATATAGAGATTATATAGAGACAAAGATTAAATCCTGTTGCTCTCAACGTCTGCCTCTGCCTCGTCTACCCCAATGGTAATTGGGTGATGACAATTTATATAAGAAGGCCATGAATCTTTCTTCTTGGCGTCGTATCCCCGCGGCTCTGCCTCTTGGTCTGCGAACTGTAAAATAATAAAATTGTATAAGAAATTTTATGAATTAAATACATATAATATGAATTAAATTTTTTATATATAACAGAAGATATTTATTAATTTCGATTAAGATGGTTTGTTTTGATTAAGATGGTTTGATTAAGATGCATTGTTATTGCGATAAATGTTACCACATGCCTCAGTGGTCGAATTGAGACGACGCCTGCACGGATAGCGGGAGGTTCCAGGTTCAAACTCTGGCTGGGGTAATATTTTTCGCAATCGCAATCAACTTATTGGCGGAATATATCATTACTTTCTGTTAAATATATATATAATATTAATATTACCTTGTCTATCATCTTCGGCATCGAAATGATCGGCGACGACGGGATCAGCGGCGACAGGTCCGGCGACGACGGGACGGGCGGCGACGGGACCGGCAGCGATATCGGTGGCTGATCCCGATAATTCTAACCCGAAATCAGCGAAATCGTTGTCATCATCTAGATCCATCTAAAATAAAATAAAAATAGCAACATTGTAATTATGTGAAATTATGTGAAATATATATATATTGAAAAGACAGTACTTACCATTTGTACTTTCGCGATTTCTCTCAGTATGAAACGGTGGTTTCGTTGGCTCCTGCCTCTAACCGAGGACAATACGGCCAGTATTTGCCACTGTTTGTTATACAAAGTCTGGAACACTGTTAGCGTAGCGAAGTCTGAATGGAAATAATATAAAAATGTAGGAAAACTCGAAGACAATACGGCAACATATGAAATCGGCGACGATGGCGGGTAAAGTGTTTAAAAGCGTGGAATACCCTTATAGGGTAGAGAGCCTTTCAGACTATATTCGGAAACTTCACTCTGGCCTAGTTTATATTGATCACTTGATACGCGTATTAAATAGTAAATAACTAGTAAATTAGTTTGATTATTGGTTTGATACGCGTATCAAGAGATCGGTGTAAACTAAATCATTCGAATACACACCAGCGTCGTTCTGGAGCCTTATTCTCGAATCGTTTTCAAACTCGCATGCGAAATTCAATGTTTTTCAAATAGAAAGTCGCACACGAAAATCATTAGGGCAGGCTCGAGAATACGGTCCCTATCCTTGTTCAATTTTTAGTAACAAGATAAAGCGATGCGGTGTGCACTCGAATATAGTTTTTGAATGCAGCCCTAAAGGCTCTATCTATACACGCCGATAACGTCGCCGCCGATCATGTCACCATCGATCACGTTGCTGTCGATCACGTCGCCTATCACGTCGTCGTTGATTACATTATTCGTGGTTGTTGCGTTCCGCGTACGCGTTACCGGTTCCTACGCTTTGTAGTTCCTACGCTTGACAAATACATTGTGGGATTAATAGCAGAGAAGAATTCTCTCTGTTGTTATTGATAGTATTTCGTCGTTGTTCGTGGCTCATAAGCTATTTCGCAAATAGCTTACAATCTCATCATATCTGTGAGTGAAGGTTATATTGTCGATATATTGCGATATCTCTGAGACAATATCTTTTTCTGTGAGTGAGTGAATTGTTAACAGATTACATCCAGCGGACGGTGAGTCGCGTCAGCACCGCTCCTGTTATCTTATACCCATAACGAGGCCCATAACAAGGTAACTATTTTTTTAAGGTGCCTTTTCACGTTGACACTCAACGCTCATTTTCAGCAAGAAAAAATCTTCAGAAATAATATATGTATCTATAAGATATATATATATATATATATCTTATAGATACATATATTATTATAGATACATATTATAGATACATATATGCACTTTCGTGTCTCACGCATTTTTCAGTACTGTTAACAGCTTTGAAAAATTCTCAAAAAATTATTATAGTATTTTTATACCTTCGACTAAAAATTAATGTAAAGAAGATTTGGAAATTATTTATTTAAATATTTTTTTACAACAATTATATGTTGAAAGACGCACGTTACGACTTGTTTTATTTAAAAAATCATAACTCACGAACAAATTTACAAAATTTAATGCTTCAAAGCGCAAATTAAAGCTAAAAGTAGTGCGAATGAAAAAAAATATGAGATAATTATTGATTAAATAAGAATACTTAATTTTGTCGCCGCAAATTTGGTAATTTTTAAATGGTACAGAAGAACTTTAAGGACTTAAGGAATGCTAGAAAAAGAATTTCTGAATAAGAAAACTAATTTGAAGTGTGACAGATATTTCTTATGTAAAAAAATTAATTTTTTTCATAGTTTTTCCTCACCTTTTCAATCTGCCTCTGAGCCATAATAGTCCTCTGTGGAATGTCAAATTTTTTTTTGACAGAAATATTTTTTAAATACGCTCAAATTATACACAAAAATACATTTTTATCGAAAAAAAAATCTCACTTACCTTTCACACAACACTTTCGTGTCCCACCGAGATTTTGATTGTTCGCCGTTTCGAGAGTAAATGAGCTACGGCTCTGAAATTTCTGTCTGATGCTCCCTACTACAACAACTTTTTTTAGGCGTGGAGGAGATAATTCCACGCTCGTTTGTTTTTTGGAACAAACGATCGCTAGAAATCGCGTGGGACACGAAAGGGTATGGTTGGATGGATTAGGGTTAATATTTTACTTATTTCGAAGTCTATGTTTGATTATGCTGGGACGATTAACGATGATTCAGCGACGACGCTGAACATTAAACAAATTCAATTTTATTTCTTGGATGCTAGCGTCAAAGCGATACCACTACATTCACCTTATTGATGACGCTTATTTTCAATGTCTTATGAATTGACACCTTAAGTGTGCAAGTAGAAACCTGCACATTGATTTTTAAGTATGCAAATCATAAATTTACTGAGTTCTAGAATAAAATACCTTTCCCAGGTAGCACATACACGTTTCAAAAATGTTTTACAAGCATTTTTCCGAAACATTTTATAACCGATTTCTAGAAACATTTTTCATGAGTAAAACTGTCCATTCGAAAAACGTTCGAAGAAACGTTTCTTTTTCGATAATTTAATATGCTTTCGAGAGTTACGTCACAGGTTATGTAACATAATTAATTACTCGACAACCATGCAGACAATTATCTTCAACTTTGGCATGGACGACAGATTTCCATAAATGAATATTTTCCATAAATTTGAACTAATTCTTATCAAATTGATTTGACTAATTAACCTCCTTAATATTTTTATGTCGAAGAAAACTACATCTAAAATAGTTAACAATTTTCTGCAACAGCATTTTGTTATTCGATTATTACAAAATAACTTTAAAAGATATACAATCTTTATCAAGAAGTACATCTGCTACGCGTTTTGTATTTCTATTACGTTTTTATTAATTTAATTAGTACCGTTTAATTATGATAATTAGTTGTTTAAAAAATTAAATGCCGAAATTGTTAAACTGCCAATGAGCCCCGATCTCTCTTATTGATGTGCACCAGTTCAGGAATTTCTTCAAAATAAAACAAACATATAAACGTTCTTTTAATAGCCACGTTCAGCAGAACGTTTATTTTGCAACTGTTGGAAGTTTTCTAAGCTCAAATTTGTCCGATGACAAATAGATTAAGACCGGTAGGACAAAATTAATTTAAGTAAATAAGTGGATATATGTGCATGGATAAAATAATTTATTTTGTGCAATAATTAGTGCAATATAAATTTAAATGTTTAAAAAAAGACTATTAAAGCTATTATAGATAAATATTAAGTCAAACCTTACCGATGACCTTGACCTTGACATATGTTGTCAAGGTCATCCTTCTGAGTAACCTTCAAAAGGTTTTAGCTGGCAGTCATTGTTTATTAAAAAGTTATAAACAAAAAAAGTTTAAAAAATATAGACCTGGGTTTTTTACGAGCAGAATCAATCACTATTTGTACTTGCGTTTGTACTTGCGGGGATAATTTGTACTGCAAAAATATAAAGTTTTATTAGTAGAATCAATTACTACTTGTACACTCGGGATAATTTGTGAAAATATAAAGTTTCAGATTTTCTATCCTCACCGTTCGTTCGGAAACTGTCCTCCATTTTCTGTACTTAAAAGTATTTAAAACAAATTTGAAGATTTTAAAAGTACATAATTTTAGAGTTATTTTAGCCGACCCAGCAACTAATTTCTTTAATATATTTTACTTCTGTCATGCTAGATGCTAGTACTCCTATTCTTTATTCATTTTATGCTTGGTATTCGTAGTCGGATCTCATTTTTATGATCGTCTTAAGTACAATCTTAAGATATTTCAAGTCAATCACAAAGCATTTTAAGACATTACTTAAGATGGTCTTGAAATAAGATTTGACTATAAATATTGGGCTATTAAATTAAATTGTATTATGTAAATATATATTTTCTTTTGCAGGTCTTCTGGAAAAAAAAAATATATATATATATATATATATATATATATATAATCCGGCTGCTCTTTGGCGCTGTGTAACGGCTGCCACAAGCGCTGGCAAACATTGGCTGCTATTAGCGCTAAATTTTGGCTGTTTTACGGCTATATTTGTAAAACAGCTGCATTAGCAGTCATAGAAAAATATCTTATTTTCAACAAGTAACATGTCGGTACACACAAAAAAATTTATTACTTTAATGCCTACAGACAGAAATATAATTGTCCAGGGTCAACGGCTGACGGACATACATATGGATCATTTCCATAGACTTTTACAAAGTTGTTCAGATTATAGACCTGTCGGAATACAATTGCCTGATATGATTCAACCTGTATCACAAGATAAAAAACACATTCAAATATTGTGTAGCTCGTCACATTGGGTGTGTTGTTATTATGATACAAAAAATATATTTGTATATGATTCCTCACATAATAAAACATTGTGTAAAGATCATGAGCGATTCTTGGAAAAATTATTTCCAGCACATGACTTTAAAAAACATCCCGTCAAATTTCCTAATGTGCAACGTCAACCGAACTGTAGCGATTGTGGTGTTTTTGCTATAGCTTTTGCTACTTCATTGTTATTCAATATTAAACCTGACAAAGTAAAGTATGAATATAAGTTTATGCGTTCACATTTGGTACAAATTTTGGAAAATAATGTTATGGAACATTTTCCTCAGGATTTGCAAAGTGCTAATTCTCAAAAGGTACTTCCATTAGCAGTGATAAGAGATAGAGAGGCTAAAGCGACTGCTCAACGTATGAAAAGACATTTTAAAAGTAATTGCGCTAAAGAATGTCGGGCAGAAAAACAGGATTTAGAAAATCGCGCTACAAAGCAGCAACGATGCAAACAGAATTTACCAAATAATCGTGCTCAAGATTCACAATGTGCTATTTCTCAAAGAGTACTTCCATTAGCGATAATAAAAGCGACAGAAACTGAAGCAATTGCTAAAAGTGCAAAGACACATTCTGAAAGTAATTATGCTACAGAATCTCGTGCAGAGCAGCAGGATTTAAACAATCGCGCTATTATAAAGCGATCCAAACAGAATTTAAAAAAAAAAGTAATTTTAAAACGT